CAGTTATTAAGCACCAAAGACGCTCCCATTGACTTTCCATGTTAAAATTTTTCATTTTTAAAGAAGCCTAAAGACAACAAACGAATTCTGACAGCTTAACGAAGCATAACAACATGTTCTATGGTCTTTTCTCAACAAGTCCTGAAAGTTTAAACAAAATCGTATCATATAATTTTGTACAATGAGCGAATGAAAAAGTCTCTGCAAAAACGCCCATTGACTTAACATGGGGAGCGAAAAAAGTTCAACTTTGACCTCGTGCAAAGACACGTTACGAAGTTTTGAGGGGTATACGACGCACACTAGCGTGTACCCAAACGTGTTTGCCATAAAATGCTGGGAAGAAAACCACCTCTTCCTTGGCTCGTTTTCCCGCCATTGGCGATCGCGCAAAAAGTGTCCAAAACCCCGTTGACTTAACACGGGGAAAATGGAATCGCACGTGCCACGTGCCACGAGGTTTTAAGCGAGTAGCGACCGGTGCCACCAGGTAGATCGCCCCCGGGAGCCCATACCCTGAAATTTTTACGAAGATTGAGCGATTCGTCTAGGCCCCCGTCAAGTTGCCCCAATTCGCTGCCAGACTTGCAAAACATAGCCCGGAGAAGGACCGCTCCGGTTGTTTTTCAATAGAAAAACACAATTCTAACGAATAGTGTTTGTCTTTTCAAACAACCTGCGGTTACCAGCATCTGCGATGCTGGGCTCCGCATCGCGGGACCGCAGGTTGTTTGAGCAAGCACCTTTGCAAACGCAGCAAAAACGCCCGCCGCCAAAAGAGAGGATGAGCCTTGCACGTGCAGACCGGAGTCGGTGTGCTACGAACTGTCGTGCACGGCACCCTATTCGCCGGTCTATAGCGGTGTGCCAAATTTGAGTGCAATCGACCCGGTCGTTTTCAAGATCTGGAAGCGACACCCTGCACGTGCGCACGTGCAGCCTGGGCCCCAATTGACTTGTGCACGGCATTCTATTCGCCGGTTTCTAGCGATGTACCAAATGTAATTTGAATCGGCCTAGCTGTTTCCAAGATCGGGAAACGACCCCTACACGTGCGCACGTGCAGCTGCACCCCAACCGCGGCACATGAAAATACATACTTACTGACTTGTGCACGGCAACCTTCTAATCGGTCTCTAGAAGTGTACCGAATTTGAGTGCAATCGGTCCAGCCGTTCTTGATATATGGAAGCGTCGTCCTGCACGTGCGCACGTGCAAAATGAGTCCCATCTGATTTGTGCACGGCACCCTACTCACCGAGCCCTAACGGTGTGCCAACTTTGATCACAATCGGCCCATCCGTTCTCGAGATCTGGAAGCGTCACCCTGCCCGTGCGCACGTGCAGCGGCACCCCAACCGTGACACATGGACAGTCATTGCGGGGCGGGTGCCGACATCCATGCCAAGGATCAGCGCAATCGGCAAAATAACTACAGAGTTATTACACTTGCTACCGAACTGACACCTCTTCGTTTTGCACGTGGCACGTGCACTAGGGGTCACCCATACGCATCGATAGTAGCACACTACGTTTGGGAAAGGAAGAAATTATCCCACACAAAAGACCGCGAGTGAATCGGTCCAGTGGTTGCAGAGATATAAGGTTTGTAAAGGCGCCCCCACGGCGGCCGACTGCTAATAATTAGCAATAATCAGTGTCGCGTCCGCACATGGGAGGTGTCCGCTTCACCTGTTCGTATATTCTAATGTGGTTGGGTTCAAGTCACAGTCGAGCCCTGCTTTTTTACAACTTTTCTTGAAAACGGCACATCGTGCAGTGACGTTCTATGCATCAATGGAAAGAGCATCAAAACTTGTATATCATATTAACTTTTCACCTATATATCTTACTAATGATAAAAGTTTTAGAGAAATAAAGATGCTCCCATTGAATTTCCATGTTAAAAATTTTAAATTTCAAATTAACTTTATAAGAAAAAATGAGTTATGCCAGCTTAACAAAGCATAACGGCATGTACTATCTTCTTTCCTCTACAAGATATAAGAGTTTGGGCAAAATCTATCTCTAAAATTTTGTACAAAGATCGAATGAAAATGTCTCTGCAAAGTCTCGACATCGCCGTCCATTGACTTAACATGGGACACAGCAAAATTCCAACTTTGACCTCGTGCAAAGACACGTTCCGAGATTCTTAGGGGTATACAGCGCACACTAGCGTGTACCTGAACGTGTTTGCCATAAAATGCTGGGAAGAAAACCACCTCTTCCTTGGCTAGTTTTCCCGCCATTGGCGATCGCGCAAAATGTGTCCAAAACCCCATTGACTTAACACGGGGAAAATGGAATCGCACGTGCCACGTGCCACGAGGTTTTAAGCGAGTAGCGACCGGTGCCATAAGGTAGATCGCCTCCGGGAGCCCATACACTGAACTTTTTACGAAGATTGTACATTTCGTCTAGGCCCCTACCAAGTTGCCCCAATTCGCTGCCAGACTTGCAAAACATAGCCCGGACAACGACCGCTCCGGTTGTTTTTCAATAGAAAAACACAATTCTAACGAATAGTGTTTGTCTTTTCAAACAACCTGCGGTTACATGGAAATGCATTGCACGGCGGGTGCCTACATCCATGCCAAGTATCAGTGCAATCGGCAAACTAACTACAGAGTTATTAGACTTGTTACCGAACTGACACCTCTTCGTTTTGCACGTGGCACGACCATTAGGGGTCACCCATACGCATCGAGAGCAGCACACTACGTGTAAGAAAGGAGGGAGCTATCCCACACAAAAGACCGCGAGTGAATCGGTCCAGTGGTTGCAGAGATATAAGGTTTGTAAAGGCACCCCACAGGCGGCCTAAGATCGGAGTGCGTGTTCTACGAACTGACGTGCACTGCACTCTACGCCGCCAACCGCAAAACGCCGTAAAAAACGGCCGCCCGCCGTCAAACGCAAAAACCGCAAAAATGCGCCCGGCCGCCGCCAACCGAAAATAAACCTTTTACCGTAAACGACGCAAAAACAAAATCACCCGCATCGCGGCGGGCGGGCGATGGGCGAATTTTTTATGGGCGATTTTTTTAGCCAAACTCAGACTCGGGCTCTGAGTGCAGCCTGAGTTATAGATGTCGCTGTCATTCAGCCACTGAAACAAAAGCGCCACGATTACCGTCAAATCATATTTCCTACGCGGCCGAGAAAAAAAATGAAGCGGAAAGTGAGTAAGTAAGACCTACCTGACACACGGTACAGTTGTTTTGAACATCACCAGTTGAACCACGAGGCATCCATATTCCATACCAACGAAAAGTTTTCCATCTCTTGGTATATTAGCCGTAGGCTAATATTCCAGGCAGCGGCACGAGGAGCCGGATGGAGGAAACATGGATGCACGCTTGGTAAGGGCAGGATAGTATATTAGGACGTGAGCTTTACCAAAAGGCATCCACGCACCGCGCTGCCCGCCCTTGACGCAATTAGCAAATAAGTTGGCTCCAAATGTGATAGCCATCTTTCAATTACGTTAATTCAAGTTCGAAAGATGATTGGTGTTACTAAAAAAAGACTACGTCAAGAGCCCGTTACGATGTAACGGAAGACAAACCAGCCACTCCACACCTAGGCAGTTTTTCACACGCATTCCTGCATTCACACTCGCCATTTCGTGCACCGGCCTGCCCGCTGCACAACGTAATATCTATGGCAACTATACTGTCTAAGGCATGATTGTTGCTCCTAATGGTTTTCTTTTTTCACAGACTGGAGTGTGCTTTACATGAAAATATAATGTAGTAGATGATACCTGCTCATTTCATCACTAAACGTGTGAAATGTTCAAATCATGTTGGTATGTGGATAAGATCCGAGACTAGGAATTTAAAGTGTAGAAATGTCGGTGGCTGCTGGACGCATCTGCAACTGAGCTCATGGTCCTAATCATCCGCGAAAGTGACGAAACTACAGGAATGTCACGGTAAAGATGCGCAGTACCCTGTATGTTCATGGCATACAGCTGCAAGCTAAGACAAAACTAGAAACGATCTTTGGGAAGAACATATAAAGTGAAGCAATACCAATGCAGAACTACTTGGAGTCACAGGAACCAGTGTGTCCAACATATCAATCAGCTAACATGTAAGGACGCATGTGTAAGGCCGCATGTGCAACTGTAATCCCTCTTGATCGACTACAAGAATGGAAAGAAAACGTCAACGGAGTAAAACTTCACCATGTGAATCTGCGTATAACTGGCATTCGTGATCAAGTATGCACAACAGATGTGAGGTGAGGACGCGGTGTCATTGCGATACAACATCAACTGATGCAATATTGGAATGCATTTTGCACTCATTCTTGCATATTGATAAGATCAAAAGTAAGGCGATAATGTGGATAAGTGTGTTGACAGATGTCGAAGACTGACGGTGATTACGAACTGCTTAACAGGCGACCGGATTGACGGTGATGCGCCTGACCGATCGTTGGAGTGCATGTCGCATCTGATGTCTATGGAAAACGGCAAAGGAGAAAACAGGACTATGGTGAAGGGCTGTTCTAACATCACATAAAACGGGAATGAGCAGTAACACCTGCCAATGAAAGCAGTGAAAAACAGCGAAACTGCCTGTTTATCCTGCCATGGTGCTAATGCCCAAAGTCAAGTTTTGTTTGTGTGTGTGTGTGGAAAGCGGTAGGGCCCTATGCGCTAAGCTATCATCCGTTTTAGCTTTGGTATCACAATACAAGTATTAGGTGCTCGCACACTACTGCCAGTAGTTCAGTCGGTACTGAGTAGCCCGCAGCTAATAACAACCTGATATTTGCTTCCTGCACAAACGTAGATGGCGGCTAGCATTATGGAAGTGTCTTTACATGATGAGTCTGATCGACGATGATGAATGAAATAATCATTTGAACTCGTTGAAAGATGACGATGTCCGGGTCACAACGAAGTGACTTAAAACTTGCAGGATGAATAACTGATGAGTGGGCCGATGAATGTGGCTTGTGCTGCAGCCGAGGCCTGTGGGGACGGACGACCGGTGAGGTACAAATGGAGCAAGGAAACGAGACGTGAATGTACACCAAGCACAATGATATTTAGCTATCATAAGCGTTGACAATGGTGAATAGTCCAGCTGTTCGTCATATTGAGCCTTCACGTCATAGCCATTGCAATATCAAGCTCCCCAAATTGTCATTAGCTTTCGCAGCCCAAGTCCAGTATTGAGTGCTCAAAGAACTTGCCAAGGCAATATAGCTGTGAGCAGCCCGAAGTTCATGGACGGATGATGACCTTTCCCTCTAGCAAAAAGTAGACGACGTCCAGCGCTATAGTCGAACAGTGCCACTGCCAGAAAGGGAGAAGGTTTGCGAAATTCTGTTCGAATATCGGGAATTCGGGAATTCGGTTAGATGGTTATGGAATGGACCATATTAAGGCATTTAGAATATCCTGCGCACGGTTTTCCTGAAAACCTGAAAACCGTAGATAGTGGGAAAACCTCAGGGGGGGGGGGGCGGAAATCCGCCCCCCCCCCGTCGGTGCGCGGGATATATTTGATTGATATGTGTAGGCACTGCTTTAAAAATACAGTAAAACACTGAAAACTAGTGACGTCAATTACGGAAAATCGGAATACCGATACCAAACCAAATACCAACCAAAACCGTGGAGAAATATACCGAAACCAAACCAACTTGGGAACATGAGGAAAAAAACAACTTTTTACCGATTTCTTAGCCTCTTAGACATTAGCGAGGGTTCATGATACCAACAAAATACCAAACACATTAGGATTGAAATACCAAATACCGAGTTGGTATCGGTTTGGTATCGGTATACCAAAAGTTGGTATCCGATTGACATCTCAACTGAAAACCAAAGCAACGTTGGAATGATTTTCCGTAGGTATGCGTTTAGTTAGCCAAGCAAACAAAGTCACAGGCTCTTGCACATATTACAGAGTGCTCCGGCACTGGTGTAACAAACAACTCACTTGCACTGGGGTTCGGGCTCACAGAGTAGATCCAACAGATAACAGGTCGCATTCAGCATTGCGCCGGACACTGCTGAAAATGTTGACAAGTGTCTGTCAGTAAACGCAAACATCAATCCCAATTGATAGGTACATGAAGACGATGACAAACATGTTGGCATTGTGTAAGAATGAGGACAGTAAATGATCACACAAAATGTAAAGCATTCTGCAACGTGTTGACAATGGACATTCAAATATGAATACATACCAGCCGTACGCAAGTGTCTTCGAAAATGTTGATCTCTTGATGGTGATGGATAAGGTGTATCACGTCCACAGGCTTCAAGAAGTCGATCCATTGTCCGCATATTGTTAAATTTGGTCATCACATGTCCGTTTTCAACGCATCCGTAAACCGATGGCGAGAGCATTTAAGAACGTTTGAGCATGTGACTGAAATACTCAAAGACACAAGTTGGAGGAAGGAGCAGGCGAAAAAAGAAAGATAACAACACAGTGTATGAGCATCGTGTTCCAGTGCTAAAAATATAACTGAACAGGAAATGCAATATCATGTGTGGCTCGCTCATGAGTGTGAACACATGCTTACATAGATGCATACCTACACTATACGAAAACATGACCGCTTTTTACGAGTGATTAACTGCTACATTCAGTGAACTGCATCATGTGGTACATGTTTGCGGGCGGAGCATGTCTACCGAATTCATCGGCAATACAATTAAAACAAACACACACATACGTAGAACTAGATGATGAGAGCTAGTGTAAGCGGGTGTACAGGTGGCTAATATATATATCTGCAGATAACTAATAGCTAGTGACAAATAAAAAAGTGCCAGCAACGGCCAGCGCAATGGGTGCTCCGTGATCGACGGTAAAATCTTCAACGGTATCGACGGTAAAGATGACAGGTAATGCACCTGTGAAAATAGGAGAAGCAACGGATGATTAGCTGACATGACAGCAAGTCGAAACGAATCGTCGATAAAATATAATATGTCAAGTCCGCGGATTTCTAAGCTTATGATTTTTCTATTTCGACGACTGTGAGTGAAAATGCATATCAGATGAGATATTCGATAAATATTACTAAAACCCTTAGAAGTCAATAGGCAGAGGGCTACAAGCCTACTTTATTCAACGTTGAATACCCACCCATAAAGGTCAGTTCATCCGAGTATTACCGCCTCCAAAAATATTAACGTTTTGTAGGCATACAGTACCGTAAAACCGTTTGGAATCTTGGAGCAGAGCTGTTCGTTAAGCTAACAGCATCCTTTGATAATGAAATGGGCCGGAGGCAGAAACTGGCACTTGAGAATGCAGAGGCAGTCATCACACAGTCCCAGAAGACGTGACTGGACAAGGCGTCCAAGCGGCGCCTGGTCATACACGGTTGCCATTGGATACTGCGAAATCAGCCTGCAGGCACATAAGGACAAGGAGTTAAAGTTTTGAACACGCTTTTCGTTCCCTTGTTGCATTACAAAAAAAAAAATATTAACGTTGTGTAGGCATATCTGGTTTGGTAGCGTGTACCATTATGCTCCCATTCCACTTACTGGTCACAGATCCAAACTCATGAAACTCCTAGATGCCGTTCATGATGACGAGTGTGTTCAATGAAGCTTATTCTGATGCATGATGCACTGGTATGGTATGGTATGGTATTTGTAGCTTACGGGCCACCACAGCGTCCTGTATTTGGGCCCGGTTCTGTCGTCCGTCTTCGTTGTTGGTCCGTCCGTTGCCTTGAAGTGTCCGTTGTCTTCTTGGCTCGTAAGGGTGGGCTGAGGGGTGGGACTGGGTTCCTAGCTATCTCCTCCCGGTAGCCGGATTGCCCCTTCTATTATTTTTTTTTGTTTTTGTTTTTTTTTTGCCATTTTGCCATTCTGGGGTCTTTTATTTTGATTCTCATTGTTTTGAATATTGTTTTTCTTTTTTGCTTCTTTTTTTGGCTTTTTTGGCTTTTTTGTCCTTGGCTCTAGGGGAGGAGATTTACAGGTCATTGATCAGCCCAGTGTTGTGTCTTTAGTGGATGAGTAGTGTTGTTAGCTCGGGGTGTAAGTCCCCGAGCAGTGTTGTGAGTGTTAGTGGGATGTTGGCGTCTCTGCAGTATGTTTGTATGTGTGTCCTGTGGTGTTGGTATTGTGGGCATGTGAGTAGCAGATGTTTGACAGTGATGAAAGTGTTGCAGGTGTTGCATTTCGGTCTCGGGCTTCTTGTGATGATGTAGTTGTGTGTGATAGCGGTGTGTCCAATGCGAAGTCGTGTGATAGCCCTCTCGTTTTTGCGTGAGTTCATGTTCTTGGTGTGCCAGTGTTCTATGCGTGGTTGAATGCATCATGCACTTCTGGACAGTGATTGATATCCGACTTGCTTGGGCGAGTGTATGCGAGTGATGTGTAGTGGTGACCAATTGTACCAAAAGAAAATGACATTGAGAACATGATTTACAAGCGCAACATGCGGCACAACTCACGTGCATACAACGACAAGAAAAACAGGAAATGTCGTAAATGACGCCATAAAACATTGTATGGCCTACAAATATATCCGCAACGCAATCCTGGCTTGAGCTAATTCAGTACCTACTTTCGCGGGAACACTTTAACTCATGTAGGTAATGTTCACACGACGCAAGACTCATATACAAACATACAACACTAAAAACACAGAACACGGACATTTTGTAGCAGTATTGCATTGTATCAGCAGCGAGGTGGAAAACTGGCGGCATCTTTGTCTCAAACTACGTGCCAGCGGTGCAATAGGCAGCTGGCATTCAGATCTAGCAATAATGTGTGCTCATGATGTTAATGGCAACTGTGAGGAGGATGAAACAATTCTGAATTTGATAGGACAAAACTGTCTGGCCAATCTGTTCCGAGCACAACTCACTTTCCCTGGACATGCAGAGTATGTGTTGCTGTGAGTTAGGTACTTATCAGATGTCACATCGCTCTGCTTATGGTAGACCTGCAATATGTGACTTGCATGTAAACCCTGCCAGCAGCATGTAGTTTTGCACAATAAAACTGTTTTCTCTGTGTGGGCTTGCATATTTCGTTGGCAGCAGGCAGGCACAATGCTAGTTCCATACACCACTGACTACACGCACTCATGCACGTATTTACTTGAAAACTAGTACCAATTCACTCATTCACTAAATTACGTGTAAGATGACACGCACACCCTCACATACGCACATACATACCCACACACCCACATCCACCCTTACACACTCACAGGCACACATGCTCACAAATACCAATCATTCAGGGTTTCCGATGAGATGAAGTGTGTCTACTGTTTTCTGCCACATTACGTCATCACCAAAAGGATTGAATCAAAAGTATCTAGGGTTAAGAAGCATAAACAATTGCTGACACATACTTGTCACTTACTTCTAATATGCCCTACTGCAACCATAAGATTCAGTTGAACCACTTTGCTCATCTTTACTTTCAAGCTGACAATCAGCATTGACGAATCAGCATTGGTTTGGCCTTCATGAAAGCTTACGTCAATAGCGCAAATAAATAACTTGCTTGTAGACGAATGGCTTTTAGTATGAATGCACATAGGTAAAGTGAACTGCGCACATGCTGTGACAAACTTTTGTTTGACTAGTAAGAAAACAGTAGACACACTTGCTAGTTTGGATAAAGGGATATTCTCGTGCGTGTAAACGGTTAATATATTCGAATTTGAGGTTGACAAAATGTCAACGGTCGTTTGTGACGAACGGGGACTATATAGTAACAGTTACTGAAGTTTGGAGGACGTATCGACTGCTGAAATAATGTTTGCCAATGAGCAAGAACATCGTGCGATAACATGATTAACCAGATACGTTAGTTCCGACTAACATTGCGTCGTAGTTTCGGATACTCCGAATGGAACTTGAAAACGTTAACAAATACTTTTGTTATCGGCCATCGTACAATGCTTGAAACAGTGCCTAAAGCAAACAGTCAACGTCCGTAAATATAGTCTGGTGCAGCATGTGCACTAATGGTATTGAACATGCATGTCGATGACCCGACATGCACGTCATGGACAGTGCAGTATGACGAGAATATCCCTTAAGTTGTTTAGAAGTTGAAGGTCTTGAAGTAGAAGGTCTTGAAGTTGAAGGTCCGCGGAGAAAGCTCGCCACCGTAGACACTATAGCCGGGGATAACAGCACATTAAAATTTCATTTGGCAAAATAAGTGACGATGAGGCACACTGCAAATAATCTTTTCTGACCGCCTTCCATCAGCAACGTGCTATAGTACCATAATTGCCAGAAGAAAAACCGCTCATTTGCAGCCTCATTTTATAGACATCTGTTGAAGGAAATATTTTCTTTTAACCTTAACAAGTCCGCAACTTTGCTTGGCATGAGCGTTAAGCGCTAGAAGTTGAAGCTTGATCTAACGAAAAAGGAAACAATACTTAAGCTCATGATGCATAGACAATATGCACTGAGAGTCCGATGCGGCAGTTGAAAGCGTGGTCAACTGACGCAAGGTTACAATGCTATTTACCGACGAAAAACGCGATTTTGAGCATTTTCGTGGATAAAGTGAATGTAGACTCAGACGTATTAGGTAATAGTATGCTTGAATAATGAAAATATCATTAAAGAGAAGCTTTGCACTCACTCATTGTGCAAATGTAGCAGC